TTATTTGAAATAAATAACAAAAAAAAAAAAAAAAAAAAAGTTTATAAAAGTTTTGATTATTTTGAGCTCGATGGATTGTTACTAATAAAACAACTAAAGGGTTGTTAAACAATTGAACTAAGGTTCAAGTTAATCACTAAATCACTAAAATAAAAACTATTCTTCTTTATCAGAGAAATATGTTAAATACAAATTTTAAATATCCCAAGGAGCTTTACTTTGCTTAAAGCAAGGAACTTTCCATTAAGCCAAATAAATATTTAAACAGTTTTCTTGTAATTGCGCCACTGTATCAGTCATGGTTTAATCAAGCGTCCATAGTGGCACCCATCAGTATCCGGCTGCAACACTAGAAAGGCATGGCGTTCTCCAAGACCCAGAGAGCGCCATTCAACGAAGCATGCGAAAATTTGGCTAATACGAAATGCACGCCAAGAAATTCCGAGTGCATAGATTAAATCGCCATGATGGGAGGAACTTGAAGAGCCGCTTTACCTCCTTCCAAGCGCCTAGGCAAGGAGCAGAACACACACAGGGAGAGCTCTCTGTCAAGGCGGAAAGCAAACTTAATGCAATCAAGCTTAATGCAGCGCGACGGCTGGTCGAGACGACGAGACGACTAGACGAGAAGCATGAAGGAGGCGGGCGGAGGGCAGCAAAAGGCGGTACCGGAACAAAGTGAATCCTTTGGGCTTACCTGCGGTGCATTTTTAAGCAATTTACATAATAATTATCGAACAGGCGCAACTGTTAGACTGAGAGAGAAAGAGAGAGAGAGAGTGAGAGTGAGAGCTAAACCAGGGCAGCCATTGCATAATTGCCAAATAGAACACCCAAGGGGCGGGGCCTCCTTCCGCCTGAGATATTGAAAAACTTGCTCAACTCGATGGCAACTACATAATTAGTTTCCAGCCAGCCAGCTTCRAGCTGTAAAATGCAACAACTAACTAAAAACCGATCAACTTATCGTTGAAAATATTTATGGTTATTATAAAGTGATAAATAGCCAATTTATAACGTATTAGAACTTTAAAAGTCAACTTCACATGAAATCCATTAAGCAGTTAAATGAATGACGTTAACTAAGTTTTTTGGAATAATAAAAAACTTGTCGAAAGCTGAAAGGGAGTAGGAGTTAACAAAATCACATTAAGTTTTTAGTAGAAAATCATTATAACAATAATTAAAAGGTAATAAAGTCTAAAAAAAAAAGTTTTTAGTTGTTTAATTCATTAGCATGTTCTAAAGTATCTGATAGAAATAAACCCAAAACTTTTATTAGTAAAAGTCGTAAACAAAAATTCAATAAAAAAAAGTTTAGGGCACTTTTTTAGACTTTCATAAAATTTATAGTTTTTTTTTCTGAAAATTATTTTTTTTTTTTTTATTTATTCTTATTTAACAGATACAGTAAATGCTAAATATCAAATAACTGCTAGTTGACGGACCTTCAGGAGTATAACAGTTTTCACATTTGGCCATACAAAATAATGGGAATTTCCAGTAATGACAGAGCCAACGAAAATTTTCGATGATGTCTTAAGAGTCGAATGACGAATGGGCTTAATTAAATTATTATAAATAAAACAATGATAAATGAACGAAATATATTGCATTTATCTACATAAAAATAAAGAAAAAGTAAGCTTAATATTATTTTATATTCGATGCTGCTATGAAATTTCAAATTTGTAGCAACGTTACATTAGTTTTTGCGCTCAACTCTTGGGCGATTCGGCGCAATGGCCCGAGCTGGTGGTGCACAGCAGAAATTGAGTGGCGAAAAAGAACGAAACGAAGTCACACAGACGAGCGACACACACACACAAGCGCACGAACACAGGCATAGAGAGACAGCAATGGTATATTGTAAATGGCGGCGGGAGCGCAGCGACAGCCACGAAGCAGAGAACGAGTGGGAAAACGATGACGACAACGACGACGTCGGCGACGATAAGAATGCACGATGAGGAGAGAAGAGGAGCGTAGCTCGCATTGGCACTGGCGAGAGAGCGAGTGAGAGCGAGCAATTCGTGAATATTTTATGAACGAGCGCGTTACTGGGGGCTTGTTCGCTTAGGCGACACAAATAACGGGACTGTGGCAATTGGCAGCGTCGGCTCCTCATCCTCGTCCTCGTCCTCATCGTCGTCGTCGTCGTCGATATGCTACTCGCCGCAGCTCGTCGCCCGTCGTCGGAGAGAAATGTAGGGAAACGCATCCCGACGTGCTCGTCGTCCTCGTCGTCGTCGTCGTCCTCTTCGGTGTCCACTGCTTACGCGGATCGCTCGCTGGCAGCGGCAGCGGCTGTCCGCCTGGCATGTTCTGGCCAGGATAGCGCCACCGCTGCCGCCGTTGTCGCCGTCGTCGTCGTCGCAGCAGCGGCAGCAGCGCTTTTCAAATTTTGGCCAATGCGTGCGCTGCTGGCGTTCAGTAAGAAAAGCGTCGCCCAACGGTCTAGTACGAAATCGTACCGTACGCTTTGAGTTCTTTCTGTTCTTTGGGTAGCCAGCGATGATATAGTCGTAAAGTCGCCTAGTCGTATAGTCGCATAGTCGCATTGCTAACTAAAGAGTGTGTGTGCGTTGCGCTCGTCTCTTGACTCGTGCGTTACTTGAAACTGATCAGAGCAACATCAATAAGTAATGATAATTGCTTTTAGAATTCACTCAGCAATTCTGTGCATTTGTTTGGTTTTTGTTTCAATATTTTATTTAGCTGACTTCATTTATTGTGCAAGGCAATGATCCCTCAACTGTTTTAGCCTCGTATGCGAGATTCCTAGTTTTTAGCCAAACTGTAAACAATTTCTCGCCATTTTCAAGCCGCTAACTTTGGCGACATTCATTAAACTTGAGCTATGTTTGTTGATTTTGTGCGGTTCTGGCCGGCTGTTTGCAGCATTCAGCTGGCAGTCACTGACATTCAGTGACTTCTAAAGTTCATTGCGAACTCATCAGAGCGCCAGCAGCTAGGAAAATAATTTGCAAACTGTGCGCACTTTTTGTTGCTGCTAAAAACTTTCGAAACGACATTGAGCTGAGGCTTCTCGGCTGACTAAGAACTTCCTTCACTTTTTTTTTCCTTGCTGAAAACATTGAAGTTGAAGTAGTATTCGTCTCGTCTGTGACGCTGTCTGGCGTACATATGACAGCAATATTTATAATTTCCGCAGCTGTTGTTGCTGCTGCTGCTGCTGCAGACACAACAAAAATGGCAAAGCGATAAGCAGCAGGCAAAATAATTTGCGATTACTGGCTGGCAGGCAAATACATAAACCCCTATCCCGTTCCCACAGTTGAATGTAACGCAACGAAAGCCAAGAAGTCGGTAGAAGGAACAACAACAACAACACTAATAATAATAATAAAAAATATATATATACCGCAAAGGTTTGTAGGGTTGTTGTTGTCGTTGTTGCTTCGGATCTACGTAACGCAAATGAGATAACAACAATAACAGCAACAGCATCAACAACAAACAAAAACAACAACAAACAACAACAACAGCAGTAGCAGCAGGGAAAAGTAAAGGTATAATGGTGCACATAACCGGCTTTGGATTTGAAGCGATTCACTTTGCCAGAGAGACAATGCGGCGTATGCGTAATGTGCGCTTTCGGCTATCTGTGTGTGCGTATGGCTGCGTGTGTCTATGTGTGTGTGTGTGCGTGCGTCTCTGTGTGTGTTAAACCCTTTTGAGAAGTTATCTAATCCAATTAGGAGCTGTCGCAGCATTAAAGTTTTCGAGCGCAACATTGCGTAAAAAGCACAATGGGCGTGGCAGCGAGTCAAGGCGCTGCAGCGCTGGGGCCTCTCGAGGGGGCAGCTGCAAATGTTTTGGCACAAAATTTGTTGCTGATGTCTGTTGCTGTTTTTGTTGTTGCTCTCGATTAAGTTTCGAGCAGCAACTGACAAAATTCGTTATAAAATTGCATTGCAATGGACGTTGGCAGCAAACATNTATATAACAAAAATACAATCCAAGTGCGCTCGTGTTCGTGAATTTTCGGTTGAACAAACACATGAGCAAAACGCAAGAGAAAAGCGAGCAAAAATTATAAAAATAATAAAAACAACAACTACAAACACACACATACACACACAGGCACACGCACACTAAGACACAGCATCGAGTACATAGGCGAAGAGCCAGAGACGCAGCCACAGCAGGAAAAGTGAAAATATACGAAGAAAAGTTGCACAGAGCGGCAAACATATTTCATAAGTTTACACACACTTGCACAGCCACAGAGACGGACACAAACACACACACACACCCACACACATATAGAGCCATATAAAACATTGCCCGAAGTCAGTTAGAGCGAGTCCAAGTTGCTTGCGAGAGACGGAAACGGATACGAGGGACACAAAGGCTAACGCACGACCTTTGGCACAGAGTTCAGCAGCTGCAGCAGAGGGCACGGACACGGACACGGACACGGGGACCGGGCACGGAGACAGGGCACAGGACACTGAGGCGAGGTCAACAAATCAATAGAAACAAAGCGCAGAGCGAGCGAGCAATTGGCCACAAAAACAATATCAACAGCAGCCAGAGCTAAAAAGAGTAGCAAAATTCATTCACAAATTATGCTGGCCATGTCGACTCTAATGATGCCCGCCCCAACTATAGCCATGGGGGCCCCGCAGATCACGATGGGCCCCCACAAGCCACCGGAAACGAAGCTGCTGGCCATACATCCAGCTGCAGCAGCCGCCGCTGCCGCTCAGCAACAGCAGCAGTCCGTGACGGCCGCCCATCTGCAGCACAATGGACAGCAGCAACATGTCCAGCAGCAGCAGCAACAGCAGCAGCTGCAACAGCAATCGTCAAATCCACAGCAGCAACATCAACAGCAGATCCTGGGCAGCAACTCCAAGCCAGGTAAGCTAACGATTTGTATATAAAATAAATATATATGAAATAACTCAAATTGGATAAGAAAGTCGGATATATATGTATGAGATTTTCTATTTTTTATTCACAATCGACCAACAAGAATTTTTAAGGTAATACGTGATTTTTTTCAACCGAATTAATTGAATTTTATGAGTATAAAAAGTAAAAATAAATAAAAATAAAATATGTTTCAAATATATATTTACATAAAAATGGTAAAAGACAAATGAATTTAAGATTCGACCCAAAATATAAATAGAAATTTTTACTTTCAATTTATATGCATTAAAGTCTTGTATAAATAAAAATTAAAAAAATAAAAGTCAAATATACTTAGGATATTTTATTAGCAAATGTAAAAACTTTGCGAACGAGACTTTTAAACACGAAGATTTCAATTGTCTCCCTTTATTCACAAGTATCAAAAGTTAAATATATTTTGTGAATACTTTGAGATTTGAGCCAGCCGAGCATCGTGGCATAGGCAGGCAGTCGAAGACTTTGTCTGTAGCAATCAAAAGTGTCAGTTTCCTGGATTTGTAACTTTTTCCTGGACACAATAAAAGTATTGCCTCGAGGCAGACAGGAATAAAAAGTAATTTATAGAAAATTTGTATGCAACCAGGGCAACCAGCAACCAGCAAGGAGCAACCGAGCAATGATTTAAAAGCCGAGGCAACCAAGCAACACATTCAATTACACTTCGTGCCAGAGCCTCTGGCTAAAACTCTGAGCTGAGAGAATTCCAATAAGTCATAATTTTAACAGACACTCTCAGCTCTTATTTTGTTGTTGTATATTTTTGTGAAACTGTAACCTGAATGGCCGAATTTGTACATTCGTGTATTCGCATGCCATGGCAATAACAAGAATTGCACACGCATTCTGAAATGAATTATTGTCGGCAAGCCAGGGCAGAGTCCGGAAGCGATGGATGCCAGTGGGCGAGTGGGCCCAAATGTCAAACGTTGGCATTACAAGCATAAATATCAGTTACAATTTTCATATTTGCAGCCGCAAATACAAAATTTGATACAGACTGTGAGCTGCCTGGGAGCTGAATTATTTTTGGTGTCGTTGGGTGTCTGAGCGGGTCGGAGCGGGTCGGAGCGGGCCGGAGAAATTGCACAAAACGAGGAGATTTACAACTTAAAAACAACTTAGGCCAGAACTTGATAACAAAGCGCAGACCAGACCCTCGCCTCCTGCGTTGCTAATGGCACAAACTATATAGGAGTACACAAGTAGTCCCTGCGCCCCGCACAGTCCCTGGCCAAAGGCGGAAACAACGGCTCAGGAAGCTGCATGCAAATGAAACGTTGGCAGCGCCTGCCCATCGACTTGAAACTGTAATGAAAATGAAAAACAGAAAATGAAAAATGGAAAATAAGTATATATAGTTGGAATAGTGAAGTGTGTCTAGGTATATTATTAAGCCCGTCTCGCTCAAACAAAGGGCGAAGCGAAAGCAACTTGAAAATGAATTTAATTATCGCAGAGAAAAAGTGAAAATTCCCATACTCGCGTCTGGCAAGTTTTCCTTTGCCGAGGCGTTGTGGATGAGCCCGAAGAGTGTGAGCAAATTGCCAGACAACACGAAACAGCATAACTGCGAAAAACAAGAGCAGCAGCAACAACAACAACAACAATCAAAAGCACTCCAGTAAAGTGGAGTGCCCGCCCACGCCCGTTCGAATACTAAGGAGGAAGATGAAAGAGAAAGATGCCCCAATTCCGTTTGTTGCCTCAAATGACCACACACAGCAGCGTCAGGGCACAGTCGCCACTCTCTGATGACAATTGACTGGGCAATGAGCGACACTCCAGAGCTAATTAGCCAAGCGGGCAGAGCTCGGCGAGCGTTGGCTCCAAATGATTGCAAATTGATAATTAAGCACGCTGCACATTACCAATTCAAATATATTTGAATTTGCCACAAGCCAAAGCCAGAGACAGAAACAGAAACAGAGCCAGAGCGAGAGCGAGAGCAGAAGCAGAAGCACAGGTCACAGCAGCCAAGCAAAACAGTTACGAAACTGAATCTGCGGCCAGCTGGTGGCGCAGCCAGCAAACAGACGAATGCATTTAAATTTATACAAACACATGTACGTACATACATATATGGACCGCAGTGTACGGTGCATGAACTTTCGAGCAGCACTTGCAAACACACATACCCACACACACCCACTCACACTCGCACTCACACATTGGCAGACAGCAGTTACACCTATGCGACGCTCCAAAAACAAACTCCAAGATCTGAAGTGTTGCAGCAGCGCGCTGTGGCAGGTGGCAGGTGGCAGAAGGCAGAAGGCAACAAGAGCCAACAAGTGCCAACGTGGCTGTGTAAAGAAAGAGACACTAACCGACAACAACAACAGCAACAACAACAACACTTACAATAACTACACAGCTACAGTGAATACCGCTATGCCACCGAACTTTTTCATTGAATTGATTGGAATTTTCACAATGTGGAAAATAGTTATAAAAACTGCTCAATCCATTTCAAATTCAAGAATTTTTATTACAAAAAAAAAAACTTGGTGAAGTATGGTTTTATTTTTATGGAAAAGAGTTATAAAAAATTGTTATTTTTATTCACGTAAAAACTTTCATTTGTTCATTATTTTTGAAAAGCAATTTAAAATAATTTGATAGATAAAAAAGTTAATTATTCTTTTGTTATTAAATATAATTTAATTTTTAAAACTATTTGATCTAATGTCATAATAGAAAGCTAAACAAATTTGATTAAATATTATTTCGTCTTAAAAAAATTTCTTTTATATATATTACACTAATTTTTTGAAGACATAAATATTTGAAGAGAAGCTTCCTTGAGTCAGAAGTGATAATGTTATTATCTTGGCATCTTAAATTTATTTTTAAATGTACATATATCTCTATATCAAATGGAGTAATATAACAAACATGCAATAAACATTAATAAGAAAAAAAAA